CGAATTCTTCTCTAGCTTGCAAAGATGAAGCATCCCATGGAGCATAGTACATGACCAGCGATACATCTTTCTCTGATATCAACGATAAGAGTTGTTTAATATTTCCATTATAAAAATCAGTAACTAAGGAAGGAGGCTCAAAAAATATATCTGGAGGATTCACTTTCTTAGTTTTTAAAGGACTGAAAGGAAAGAAAATATAAGCAAATTATTATCATAAGCACCATTAACTAATTTTTTGAGATATTAAGATTTTACTGCCTGATCAATACAGGGCTGGTAATACGAAAGAAAAACATTTGAAGTTAAATTAAAGGCACACAAATAATCAAGCAAAAACTATTAATTACAATAAAAAAATTAATATCAATCTAAAACATGCAAAATGTTTTTTGAAGTCAAAATAAATGTAATTTTTTAAAGCATCTTTTTTCATAAAAGAAATTTTAATCATGTAGCAATATTGAACATTGAACTCAAATGCACTGTTAGATTATTAAATCAAAATTCAAATAGATTTTAATGATTTTATTCAAATAAAATAATTATCTTCATTCTTAAAAAGTCCGTAAATTTAGAACTTTTACATAAATTAAAAAGAAACAAAAACATTATTTGACTTGCATTAACATAACAGTAATGCTTTTATACGGTAGGTCTATTAATAACATATCATAAGCGATCTAAATGAGATCACAAAAATGAGTTTGAAGATATTTTTAATTCCCACAAAAACACTACAGGCAGATTTTGATGCATAATTGAACGTAAAAGTGCACAAGCATCATTACTCAATAAAATAATTTTTGGTTGAATTAAAACTTGAACCTGAAACTTGTGAAGGGAATATTATCAGTAATAAAGTTTAAGTATAATTATGATTTGGGGTCTCTCAGTTTTCTTATGATTTTTTTTTAAATATATCATTGACACATCACTAATCAAAAATAAATGCAAGCATGCCAATATATCATGACTTACGATATTGACTTTTTTTACCATTGCATTTTTCGTCAATACACTTACTAGTCTAATGGATAGCACAATTTGACAATTACCAAGTAATGAAAAAAAAAAAAAATAAATAACACTGAAAATGTTTTTTTCAAATTTTTAAAAAGAATAGTCTATAACAGATTTACTAACCCATGATCATATAAACACAATTAAACCTGTTTTTGTCTAGGAAATACGGACTGCAAAAAAGAAAACAAAAAAATTATGCTGTATGAAATCCCTAGGAGGATAATCTTCTAGAAAAACATTTAAAGAAAAAAGATTATTTTAGTGAAAAAATGCATAATCTTTTATTTTTTATCTATAGAATTGGTTACGCTCAGATAAAAGCTCTTCAAAAACTAATTGACATTGCTTCTTAGTGAAAACTTGGCTGCCAGTTTGAAATTGAGGTTATTATTAGTTTACCAAACAGAAAATCCCAGAGCATTGGAAGCAAAAAATAAAGAATTGCTTCCTATCATTTGAAAATCAAATTCATAATTTTGAAATACAGTTAAATGGTGAAAACAACCTAAGTGGTACCCTCTTTCCATAACTTATGTGGAGACTTAGATCTCTAAAAGATTTAATGTGTATTAGTCCCACTATACAATGGGACTTTGGTGGAATCAGGATTCCAACCCAATATTTGATTAAATGCTTGTATCCATGACTATTTGGCCACATTGTTTTTTTATGAAATAATCAAAATTACAGTTTGTGTTTGTAAATATTTAACTTGTGAAACTGCAATACAACACATATCGTTAATTTAATTTGAAAATCTACAATATCGTTTATTTGTGTCACACTATGAATATTGGTGAGACCTTGTAATTTGGAATTACAATGAAGTGACAAAGCTGACACTCAAGCTATAACCCTATATCCAAACTTCCTACCAAAGGATTTTGAGCCTCAACAAATTTAACACTCTTCACATCCAAGAGATTCAAACTTCACAAACTACAAAAATATCCTACTAAAATTCTTGAATCTAAACAGATTATTTTACGGACTTGCAAAACTTAAGTAGGAAGATGCATGCAAAATACCTATTCAAATATTTCACATATCATACTACATTTTATCACACCCCACTTCCTATGCAAAGATCATCATTAGTCAAAGTTTGTTACTTTATCTTTCATTTAAGAGTTATGGAAACTAGCAAATCATATATATATATTTTCAAATTTAAGAAAACAGCTAAAAATTTCAAATCTAATATTTAAAATATAAGTAAATTATGAAAGTAAAAAATTCCTAATACTTTATTCATTCGAAAATAATCAAGTTCAGACAATTACTGAGTTATCTCATACAACAGTTCTGATTCGATGGTGTGATCCAATGTTTACACTCAGAGACCGGCCAATTTAGATCTGCTATGTACAAAACAAATAGGACTTTCGTACCCACTTTGCAAAGCAGCTATTCCAGTAAATACGATTGTTATCACAAAAAAAATTTCTCGCCCATACGAATTCATAACTTGGAAATATTTTGTGAGAGAAAGAGGATCGCCACGTGTGTCTTGTATTTTGATATCAGTATCATCCTCATCTTTGATCAAGTCATTTGTCGCCGCCATGATGACGTCATTATTCGGATAAGGAAAACGAAACAAAAACCGAAACAAATTACAAATAAATTTTATGACCTTCATAAAAGGATAAATCAAAGTACTTTGATAAGGTAAGTACAGATATCGAAAGAATGAAATATAATTAACTCATATTGAGAATCCTAATTTGACTTCTTTTAGCATATTTTTTTGAATAAATTGGTTTATATAATGATTAAAATACTGTATTCTTTTTAAGTCTTTCAGAGATGATATTATTGAACTATTATAACAATAAGATACATTTTGTAAAAACGTAAATTATTTTTCAATTTATCATGCATTATTTTTATGATTCTTCTATAAATACGGGCTCTAACGAGATTATTCCTTGCTAACTACAAAACTAATTTCTCATAATTATAATACTTATTTCAAACTTTTCTTAATTGCCTTATGATAAGCCTTATTTTGAAATTGAATTCGATTTCTCATAAAAGTCCTTAAGGGTCTTTTCTTACTGATCAACTTTTAAAACTATATCACTCCTTAAAAATTAATTTTAGAATGTTGCATTAAATTCAAAACATAGCTCAACAGCTAAAAGAAATGAAACCGAACTAAAATCTGTTCTAGTAAAAACTGGGACAAACAAGTTGGCAACACTAGTTAATCGTAGGTGGATCGCATTTTTAATTATTTTAAGCTCACTTTTTCAAATTTGTAACTTGTGTTACACACACATGTGTCTTTGAAGCTTGTCACGCCATGTATGGTTGGCGTTCTTGTACTGGAGTTGTTTATATTTAAACCTCTGTGTGGAAAGCGTTCGCAGTTTTCCAGTTTGTTTCCAAATTTTTTTAACGTTTCCTTGCCAATTGTGAATATAAAGTATTGAACAATATTTGGAAGTAAACACACTTTTATTGACTAGTTATTCGCTCAATTTTTTAATGTTGAGAAAACATGTTTTATATACACCTATTGTTTGAAGTATTTAAGAACTTCCAGGTTTTTTTAAGAATTAAAAATTTCGTACCAGTTATAAAATGCAATTTTAACTATTATTACTTTTTCAAAAATAAGCCTTTAGAAATTTAAAAACTTAAATACGTTCTCCCCAAAATGTTCGTATACATCACAAAGTTTAAGAAAAACCTCCTAATTAGGATTAATTTAATGATAAGTTCCAATATTTTTTCGCATAATGTACACACATCAGATTTTATATATTAAAAACTATGTCGTAATTAAAAATTACTGTTGGTTCATTTTTGTAAAGAATATAAAATAGGCTGCCAAAAAATAAATAAAATCACCACAAAAGTGATTAGATATGGAACATATTTTAACAAATTTATCTATTTCATAGTTGGCCGTTTTTAAATTTCATTATGATTAAAATATTTGGCTTATCTTTGCTTATTTATTTTGTAATGATACTCATAGAATGAAATGGCTCATAGAAAACAAAGATTGAGATTATTTTGCACCATAAAAGGAGTAAACATTTTTGAAATGTTACTTAATTTGTGCAGATTTATGCTATTTAACTATTGCATTATAAAGAATAATTATCAGAAAAGTTGTGAAAAATGAATGTTTAATCACTAAAAATTACTATTGAATTCAATAAACTATTTTCTGAAATTCTCTCATTTAAAGTTAAGTATCAAATACTGAAATCAGTTGGCTTACAAGATTGTTCTGCGGGTAGAAAATGCTTTAAAACTAAGAAACTAAAGGCTAAGACTTTATTTTGTAAAATTAGTGATAAATAAACCAATATGTAGTCTAATCACATATTGTGTAGGTTGGATGAAACAATTTTGGTTGATAGGAGTATAGCATTGTGTAGAGAAAGCTAAAAATAAAAGTTAGAACAGTGAAAGCGTGATTTTGTAATTTTATCAATGGTATGATAAAATATGTATAATAGTATAATGATTTTGCATAAACACTTTAAAAGGTAATTTATAATTATACTCAAAATCGAATATCAAACAACTTTTTGTTTTTTATCAAAGGAATAATACTAAGAATATATCCCTGAATTTCCATCTTCAATATCTCTGATTTTCTGGGAGTTCTAAAAAAAACTATTCTAATCACCCGATTTCAACCTGATTGAACATGTTTAGAGAAAACTTGAAGCTAGAACACAATAAAACAAGTAATATACATAAAAAAAAAAATTCAGTCAATTCCTACTTAGGTCAACAAAGAAAATTTTTTAGTTACTTTTTATTAAATAATTACAATCAATATAAATATGTATATACATATGACAGACAATATTAAGTGGCAAAATAGAAAGATTTTCCTTGCTTTATATGGTGTTGGACTGCTATTTTTGTTTGTTACTATTTATTCATTAATTAAATTTAATTATTACGATAAAATAGCATATATTAAAAAAGAAATCACATTCTGAAAAATTAGGTGGGATTTGAACCCACGACCTTTGGATTAGAAGTCCAATGCGCTACAAGGACACAACAAGCAATTTTATATATGATGTTAGACTATTATTTTTGTTTGTTACTAATTATTCATTAATTAATGAATTAATATTTGAATAAAAAAACTATTATAACATCAAGTGTCATCCACTACAAGTTTTAAAAAATGTATTTGAACTTGAGTGGATGAATAATTATTAATGATTGAAAATTTGAACAAGATATATAGAAATATATAAATACGTATAGGAAGAGTGTGTAAACTAATAGTATAAAATGAAAAACAAACTTAAAACAGTGTTCATCAAAGAATGGAGAAAAGTTAATGTAAACACTGAAAAAATTTGTGAGCTTTTTGTCCAGACATTTGAAATTTGTTTGGAATGATCAAAGATATATACCAAATTTTAAATTACGAAAATATTGTAATATATTCTGTCTTGTGTTTCTTAACAAATTTAATTGCTTTTGTAAGATTATTTTTTAATTTTTCAAAAAGAAAAGTTTAACTTTGTATTTAAAACGCTCTTTGTAGTTCCAGTGAGAATAGAATTAAACATTGTTTTAAAAATCTCCATTGTGAAATATCAGTACTTACGTATTATTGCAACCATATTGTCAACTTTATATGAAACAAAGAACATGGTTGCCAATTCAGTGTGTATGACACCAGGGGTGGCATTTGGATCAAATTTGAAAAATATTTTTTTGTTACAAAAAATTTAATATATTTTCTGAAATATTATTGGGTGTGAATTTGGTATTTCATTTAACGTAGCTTATTTTTTTTATTCTGTACTCTGTATATTTAATGACTGTTTCCTTTTTTGTTGAAATTTGAAGGGTTCAAGGTGGAAGTATATGTTAAAGCATGAAATTTAATATTTTTACACATCTTTCACTAGTAACTTTCTCCCCATCTCGGAGTGAGGTCACAACGGACATTCCTTTCACCCTTACGATGTCTGGTTTCAGCTATCCAAAAGGGGACAAGAGTAATAAGAGATTTTGGTATATAGAGCCACAGGAGGTATTTTATTTTAGTCTTGAGTGTAGTTACTATAAGTTAAAACAAACTTTTGTGATACCCACCATTAGTAGACTATTTTTGAAGAAATTGGCCTGCTTAAATAGACAATTCCTTCTCTTACATTTCACTTGTTTGAAATTCTAACAAATAATTATGTCCTTAATTTTGAATTATTTTGAAGTTTTTAAGACTTAAAATAATATATATATAGAGAGAGGGGGGACAGCATTTTCCCTTTTTGTCCGGGGTGGCAAAACTGCTAGAGCCGGCCCTGACGACATGCGAAATTGAGGTTGCACACTTGGTAGATTATCTTTAATGTTGGCATTGTTGCAACAGTATGTAAGTATCGAAATATCTAATTTTGTTACTACTATTTTTTGAAATTCGAAAGTATGAGAATAGTTTGGGAATTATTGTATTTTTGCATCCAGTCAGGAACTGTGCAAAAATTTGCTTAGCAAATTAATTCCTGAAATTATTTGTATATATTGAGATTTAATTAGGGGATGTTTTAACTATATTGAATTCAATATATAATGCGACCAATCTTGATATATAATGTGAATACAAATGTAATTCTTGTCATTAATTTCTTGCAAAAAATATTAATTATGATTTTATTTTTCATTTATATTTATTGCATTTTATTCATATACTTCCAAAAAATAATCAATTAGATTGTGGATTTTTTAAAATATACATAATATGTTTTAATATCACTTCTTTATTGTTCATTATCAGTTGCAGATTAAGAAAAACAATGAATACAATTGAAGCTCACTTTTGTGGCATTTCTTCTCAAAGTAGTATCTATGGCTTAACAACTTTGTTTACTGGTGAAAGCTCTCATAAAATTCTTGTTGCTTCTTCTAAAAGAAAAGTCTATTGTATTGAATATTCAAAGAATCAACAAAGTGTCATCTTTTCAACTCGTGAAGTACAATTCACTTATATACCTGGTAATACATAATTTGATTACATACATATGCTAAATAATTTTTAACATATGGTATACAAAGAGAGAAATTTAATTAATATTGATTCCTTAATTTTGTCTGCTATGCACACTTTTAGAAAATTTTGCAAGAATATTGAAATGTGTGTATGGTTACTACCTTCTATTGTAGAAATTAAAATTAAATTCTGAAACATAGTATTGAATGATTAAAAGAATTATTATATATATTGAAATACTGCTTCTCTCTTTGTATTAGTTCAAGCCCTGATTCTACAATACTAAGAAAATTGGGCACTTACGTATTAGCGTCAGCACAGTCAAGTTGGTACCACATAAATCGCGTCATTTTCTGGCAAAATTAACAGACTTTGTTTTAGAAAAAATTATGATAATTTTTTTTTGTATCAAGGCAGGATTTGCATGGCATCAGTTTTGCTGCTGTGATGCTAATACGTACATACCAAAAATTGTCATTCAGAATAATGGAGGATTTTTATCTTTAAATGTGTGGGGAATGGGGGCCACTGATCCCCGAAATTCTCATATGGTACAGAAATTGAAGTAAGAAATCAGTTCAGGTGTTGTCATTTGATTCGGAATGTGGAAATCTATTGCTAATAGCCCTCCATGTTGATCTAATATAATGACATTTAATGTTGAATCTTAAGGTTCTAGTAGATGATTCTTGATTTGTGTGACTATATGTTCTTAATTGGTCCATTTTTAAAAAATGTTCCTTCCAATTTTATTTCTTAAAAACATATTAAACTTGTAGACTCCTGAATGTCTTCTAGCTATTTTAAATAAACATGTTTTGTCCACTTTTCTTATTAACCCCTTAACTGCAAAGGAAAAGTTACGAAATTCACCCCCACCAAGTACCACCATTTTTCCCACAGGCTTGCATTATTACGCAGTTTATTGGGGGAAAAGAAAAGGCATCTTTTTCCACCTAAAAACTTGTTTACTTTCACTTTAAAAAAAGAAAGAAAAGGATAATATTATTAAATGAAAATAAAAAATTCAATCTCTAGAGTTACAATATAATAAACAATCAATTATAACTTATCTGTTCTGTGATATATCCTGAAGCAGGGTTGAACACATAAACCAGTATCACATTCAGTGCATTCATACAAAAAATTAAAAACCTATTACATATGGTAAGCAAAAATGACTACAAATGAAGAATAGAAAATTGCACACTCAAACGAAAAAACAAAAACTCCTTAGCTGTGAATTTCATCATTCCTGGAATATACCCTTTCAAATTTCTTACCCACCTCTTCTCCGAAATCAGTAAATTCTTTAAAAGCACAGTTAATGTCATGTTATTGTATTCCAATGTAATGGGACTAATTTTAAACAGAGCAGCACTTTACAAAAAGTCTTCCTTTGCAAGGACAAGTATACACGTCCGGGACACTAAAGGCACTTAGCAGGACATGTATACATGCCTGCATCACTTAACCACTTAAGAGGTTAAGTGACTAAAATTTTACGTGGGATTTATTTTGCTGCTCTATTTGAATTTCCCCCTCCCTAAAACTACTTAGCTGTGTTCTCAAATAGTAAAATTTATTATTGCAACAGATAAGACAAAGTTTTAGCATATGTCTGTTCTATGTAATAACCTCCAAATATCAATAGCCTGTGGATTTAGTTTAGATCAGTGATCATCATACGAAACAAATTTTATTCTATATCATATGCTATTTTGTGCATGTGAAATTTTAATATGGTGTGTAAAATATTAGAATTAAGATTCGGTACAGATTTACAATGCAGTCATTTGAAGATTCATAATCTTTTGATGATACATCAAAACCAATCTTATTTTTGTAATTGATTCACCTTTCCTTAACTATTGTTTGTAATGCATATAATAATTATTATTTAACTTTATTTCTTCTAAAATTACTGTTAAATGAAGTACAGTTATTTCATTGTATTTATAGTACCCATTTATTTTTATTTAATTGCTGGTCTTGCTAAAAAATCACCATTTATTAACCACAATATGATTTTCTATATCCTTAAAATCTTTTTTCTACCACATCATATTTGTTCTACATCTGCTGTTCTTTAAAGAAGTTTAGTTTTCAATTGCTCAGTTTTAATTTATATAAATTTTAATTAATTCTTTTTTGCATCTGTCCTTGGATTTTAACACTCTTTTTTTAATACGCTTTTATAAGTTTCGCTTGTATGTAACAGAATCTTTGAACTTGATTTTTACCTAATTTAAAAGGACAAATTAATTCAAAATTTTGCACACGTGTGAAGGATTGATGGCAATACAATAATTTCATAATTTTCTTCCATTGTCCTGAACAGGAGGATCCAGATTTGGCAATTAATTCCATGTACCATTGCCAGATTTGGCGACTAATTCTATATACCATTTCCAGATTTGGCGATTAATTCCCGATTCCATTTCCGGATTTGGCAACTAAAAGATTAAGAATAACCCTAAAAGCAAAAACTTTTTTTTTGCGTCAGCAATTTTTTATCATAATGTAAGCAACTGTCCAGTCTTTCTGAAAATGAAAATAAAAAAAAAGACTTGTGCATGTGAAAAAATTAATTTGTTCTGACTCAGAGATGGGCAAACTTTTTCGGTTGCGTACCAAAAATTAAAAAAAATAAGTATATGAATAAATAATAATTAAAAAAACTAAAAATACATGCTTTTACTGTTGATAGAACTAAAAAATTAAAAATTAATTATAGTTTTAAAAAACTAAAAAGCACACTTTTATGGTTAATCAAAGTAAAAGCATAATTCTTAATATAAGAATAAAATGATTAACAAGAAAATTAATGTCATTGGGGTAAAAGCGTTTGAGGCTTTATACTAAATTCTTATACTAACTCAGCATTTCAGAATAGAATTAGTAAGAAATTATAACAATTGATATAGAGCACCTCACGCTTTTACCCCAATGACATTAATTTTCTCGTAAATCATTTTATTCTTATATTAAAAATTATGTTTTTATTTCGATTAACCATAAAAGCATGTTTCTTAGTTTTTTTAAACTATAATTTATTGC